TCGGCTAAAGCTTTGCTGATAGCCGTCCTTATTACTTCCGTAAGCTGATCTACATCCATTCTACCTGATGGTGGGAGAACTGCACAGTCGGAATCTGAGTCGCTAGACTGCCTGCGAGGGTTTCTCTATTGGTTGAACCGAGACATGCGCAGGTCAGTGGTCGCGAAAAATAAAACGGACCGTCAGAAGATGGGTCGAATTACGTCACAGCTCTGAACTACGAGAACTGCATGCACAACTTCAGACACACAGAAAGTAACACAATGTAATTTTATTGACGATCTGAATGATCAATTGCTGCCACTAAAATTCCCAAAGTAGTCACTCTCACTTGGTTCTGATCATTAATTTTTTTTTTTTTTTACATGCAATTGCAATATAAAATACTCGCTAGTCCTAGGTATTTTTTTATAAAATAAATTTTAACACTTTTTGTGTTTGAAGAAAAATTTTGGCTAGAGTATCCACTTACAAGATTCAACTAACACAAAACAAAAAAAAAAAAATCCCTTTATAAGATCTGTCAATTGCAGCTCCCGCGCTGCTGTCTTAATTGTTGTTGGTTGTGGAGTCCGACCACTAGTTGGGCGCCAATTATATGTTTTCCAGTCCTGTGGTGACTGAAAGTTAGGTTGAGAGGCGACTGTGCCTCTTATTGCTGGCCTCGGGCTCAGACAATGAAATAAGCCATTTAACGAGCAAATGACGGAGTGAATATTTATTTAAGCGGTTTACTGGAAGAACGCTTTTTAACCCTGCTTTTAATTGTTCTTTTTTTGAATAATCGAAACAGTTAATTTTATTGGTTTTTCTTATTATATTCACTATTTTTAGTTTTACTTATATGACACCAATTTTTAGCATGTCCTATCAGTACGAGTTAAAACACGAGACTGATCTATATTTTTACAAATCATAGCCTCACCGGCGTAAGTAGAGTTGCCCTTGCCAGGGCTGTTCCTTAACTTGTCTAGCACCCGATAATAAGTGTTGAATAATACCTTACATTAAGTGTTATAAGCTAACTAAGTGTTATAAGTTAACTTATATATATATATATATATATATATATATATACGTAAATGAAATAAATTGAAAGAGAAACGATACAGTAAACTATGCTTAACCTGTACTACACATTCAATTTTATTATTAGTACATTTATCGATAACAAAATGTAAAAAATAAATCGAGAAAAAGTTGAGCTAGTTGCTTCACATGCATAGAGTAAATGTAAATATAGTAGAACCAGCTTAAGAACGAATGTCGATAGAAAGTAAAATCGATATTTATAGATATTACGATAGTAATAAAAGATATCGGAAACTTCTGCGATATTTGTCGATTACTTATGTGTAAATGTGAATTATTTACATTTCGAACTCTGAAGCACTTTGACTACCGCCATTGTCTTGAGCTGCATATTTATTTCACAATTGTACCTAATTTCTCTCAGTGCATTGTTGCAGCTGATATCGCATGATGACGGCATTTGTGTGCTTTAACCTCCTGCGACGGCGATCGATGCAGCAGCAGTGGCGGTGACATATGAGCATTAAATACGGGATGACTCAAATTGTTGGCATGCCTAGGGCAGCGACGCTGGCGTCGACGCCGACGCCGACGCCGACACTTTTGGTCAGTTCGAGCGGCGCATGCGTTGTTAGTTTTGCTTCTTGGAATTGTACCTGTCCCAGCGATCGAATGTCCCAAGCGTTTCAAACGTTTCTGTCTCTTCGTTCGTTCTTTTTGGCTTCGGGTCTGCACAACCCTCCCCTCAGCCCGCCCGGCAACCTATCAACCAATAGCAATGCAGTTCAATAAAGTTCGTTAACATGGCTCGACTCGGCTCGGCAGTAGAAGCTAGTCATCAAAGCAGCGTCGTCGTCGTCGTCGTCGTCGTCATCGACAACGTCGACGCCGACAGCGCCGTTAACAGCTTCGAGCGTTTGCTGCTATCAGCAGTTGCCTTTGTGTTGCTGTTGTTGTTCTTGCTTTTCTTGCTGTTCCCTTTGTTGTTATTGTTTTCTGTGGTTCTGTGCGCGCTTCGCTTGTTTAATTCGCTGCGAAGAGCGCGCGCGCTGCGTTTTTTCCGTTTCAGTAATGAAAGAAACTTTGAAAGCGTCGTGTCGCGAATTTGAGTGTCGCCACAAAGCCAACTGCATACTATACCGTTGCACATAGTACCTATATAGCTACAGATATATACATATACACAAATATATTCATATATATACACACATATATAGAGCTGTGCCTTTTTTGTTTTTGTGTCCGTGCCGTGTGGTAAAAACCTTGCAGAATGGTGCATCTCTATCAGCGTCGACGCAATCGCGAACAGGTGGGTGGCGTCAGCGATTAGATCACACACCTTCGCCTCCTGGCAGACCAGCTCATTGTGCTGCCATTACTATACATGTGTAATACTCCAAGAAGCGAATCGAATCGAATTAGCCGTCGTCGCCAACGTGTAACGCATGTCAAGTATCTAATTAGCAGGCAGCAGCCTGAACGCATGAATGAACCCCACTGAGAGCCGAGAGCTCAATACAAACAGAAATAGAAAATGGGAAGTGGAAGTGACGACAGTGGCACAACTGAAACTGGAACGCGCCAAGGGGTGTGTGTGTGTGTGTGTCTGTGTGTGATTGTGAGTAAGTGAGACAATGTGGATAGAGAACATTTTGAAACCTTGATAAAGCGAACGAGCTTCAAAATTCTGTTTGCTTCCACTTGAAATGAATGCGCGTTCCGAGAATTGTTTGCTCATTGAAGCGAACTAACAAATATCCAATTGGAATCGTATTAGCATGCAAGCCTTTTCTTTTCTTTTCCCCCAATTCGGTATTCCCTTTCACAGTTGAAGTACTCGAGACGATTCGCAGAAATCTATGCGGTTTTTGCGTATATGAAATTTTCAGAAAATCTAGACAGCTGCTCATTAGTTTTTTTTCACTCTTATTTAGCTTGTACATAGGTAAATATATAAATATATTTACCTCTGCTCAAGTGGTATAAAAGTTTATCGCTTGGTTGTCCTATAAGTTAGGGTTTACGTGCGTGTGTGTGTGTGTGTGTGTTAGGTGTGGGGTGGGCATAGGAGCATGGGCAATACCCGTGATTGATAAGTAACGAGCCATAGAATTGGGCGTGTGTTAAGATTAAGTAAAATCAATAAACGGGAAGCAAGCAAACATATAGAAACTCTATCAATAACAGTTATCTTTTACTCGGAAACAGAGAATAATTCAGATAAATCTACATACACACATACACACATACACACATATACTATATTACGATTGCGCAGCTACTCTCAATTGTTTCTCAGCAAATCCACTTTTCTTCCTCTTCTTCTTTCATTTTTTGATAACATATACTAGGCAATTTATTGATATCGGCCGAGCAAAGTCTTGTCATAAATGCATTTCGTAAATTTTTATTTCACTGCTTTTACTTACACACATACATACATACATACATATATATATATATATAAATATATATATACATGCAGTAATAAATTTCAAAAAGGCTTTGTCCACTCTGCAAGGGCAGGAAATATAATATTAGGTCTACCTATCTATAAAAAGGTCTATCAACAGTGATCAACCTGCAAAACTTAGTAATCGTAGCTTTAAAACTGTGGAAGGTACAAGTTTGTCTTGTAATTTGGCCAACAATGGGATCAGGCAGAGACGTGTCTGATCCTATAAAGTATATACATATATATATGCCGTCTCTACATTCCTAAAAGTAATCTTATTAACTACAGAAACTTAACTCTTATGATGAATGCTAGATTGGAAGTATTCCAGATCTAAGATATCTGTCGTCATTTGCTCCAGAATGAGTTCGGGTATCTCGTAGTCGAGCACTGCCCAACTGAGACTACTCCTACTTGCTTGTCAGCGAAATGAGATTTCTCTGTTGCGAGCCGATGTACATATATGAAACTTTTAAAGACCTTATCGCAGCTCCATTGACCTCTTTGGTCGGCTTAATAATGCCAAGTAAAGCTACGACTAGGCATCATATGCTTATGGCTTTTTGCCAATCTACAGGCATATCTGCTAAGGCCTCATTAGGCAAACATATTTTAATTGCTAATTGTTAATAATGGCATCATTTCTCAGCCAGAGTAATCAATCTAGTCAATCATTCGCTCGTTCAATCAAGATATGCACACTGACTGCTCTTTATTGGGAAAGTAATGTCACCATTAGCGTCAATTGGCCAATGTCTGAAATCAATTAGAGATATTTAATGTGAATGTCTCGATTAATTTAACTTAACTACTTCGAATACTATTAGAAATGTCTGAAAAAGTAATCACACATAGATCTGTACAGTTACATATATCATTATATAATATATCCATCCATGGAAATCCCATATAATACTATTTTAGTTAGAGGTCATATATGAGTTGATTGTGTCTAATCAATTAGTGAGAAGGTTGTCTGTACAGCGGCTATTTCTAGAGTCTTTCGGATCTGCCTAGCATCAGCCGACTTTGCTGTGGCCCTGCTAGACGGGCTTAGCTATAACCAGTTGGGAATTCTACAGTTTGGCAATTGAAATGACAACTCTCTTTGTGATCAATGAACTCAAATATGGCAATCTTTAGTGATGTCGGCAAGACTTCTTTTTAACAGATAGAAGCAAGCGATAACTTGTCAACATATCCAAGTACACCTATCTATATACATACATAAATGCATTATAATAAGATGAGTGAATGAATCTATGAATCTCTGTAACCCGAATGGAATCGAGGCATGCAACATTGATGTATCCAAGCTCTAAGCTTCTTTTTCCTGTAATAAAGTGTCTATTAAGTATTTGTCTTAACTGTTTCTCTTGCTGATCTAGCGCCGCACATCACATATGCACACATACGTACATTTCGATAGGCATACATACATATGTGACATATCAAGATTTGCCCCATCAATGCTTAATTGTCAAAAATTGTTTCATCTTGCGCTACTTCACAGGCTATCAAACAATTCATTGATCTCTGCAACAATTTAGGCGCCAACTGCAATACAGCAGCAGCAGCCGCTGCCGTCGCCACCAACTCCAACTCCAACTCCAACTCCAATCACTCCTCGAATGCCAGCACATCTAATTTTCATGTCAGCATCAATACACAACAGCAAACGACAGCAACTGGCGCAACAAAAGCGGCAACAGCAGCCGCACCGGCACTAGCACCAGCAACATCAGCCGCCACATCATCATCATCATCAGCAGCATCATCAGCAGCAGCAACATCGTCGTCATTGCCAATTAGGCGTCACATTTCGCACACGACAGCCGTCAAGTTTCTGTATGCCCGTAAATTTGATATACCACGAGCCGTATCTCTCTATGAGCAGCATGAACAGATACGCCAACGGGAATACCTTTATAACATTGATGCCAATGTGGAGCCGCTGCGTTCCGAGCTGCAAACGGGCAAGTTCACAATATTGGTGCGTATTCAAGCTATAAATTGACCGTCAGTTACTCACTCTCTCCCTCTCTCTCTCCCTCTCTCTCCTTCTCTCTTTCGTTCTCTCTATTTTTAGCCTGCCCGCACGTCGAGCGGAGCGGCCATTGCGCTCTTCACGGCCAATCGGCATAGTCCATTGAACGCCTCGCATACGACCACATTACAGGGCATCGTCTACCAGTTGGACTGTGCGCTTCAGGACACGGAGACGCAGCGTGCCGGACTCGTCTTCATCTACGACATGAGCGGCTCTAAATATTCGAATTTTGACTATGATCTGTCGCAGAAGATTCTCACGCTGCTGAAGGTGAGTCTCCCATTGCATACTTTGCGGCTGCACTCGAAATTCCCTGTTTACTGAGTGAGCAAATGTTTGTTTGCCTTGACTTGACACACTTCTTGACGCATGTCAATGTGGGTCAGTGGGGCGGTACGCTGTGGTGCTGAAAATGAATGTTTTTGTATATTATTTATGTGCCTATTGATGTCAACGCTCCTTTCTTTTTTTGGCATTTTGTCATTTTGAGGCTAGCAAAATGTCCTCAAGAAATTGTTAGTTAGTAAAATGCGCTCTCAACATCAGATTGTAATCATAGAAAAAAGCTTTGCTTTTCTTTGCTGAATTGTTCTGGCAATTCCAGTTGCAAACTGCTTCAGGTATTTTGTTCTTGTGCTCCGCTGCTTCACTGGAAGAGCCAACAAAAGAGTAGCTCGGAAATCCTTGTTTCTTTTCTTTTTGCCAAGCAGCATTTCAGCGGAAGCACTCGAGCTTTATAATCAGCATAGCAACAATGTCAGCCCCTAACGTTTCTATATCATGCATGCACTGTATATATATATCATATATATATATACGCATATATATATAGGTTGGACAACAATGTGGCGGTCAAAACGTTGCCTTTGTGCGCCTACGCCAAATGCTGGAATCCGCAAATAAGACGTAACATTCTCTCGTGTAACGTAGCTGGGTAAGGGCGAACGAGGGAGTGCGCAGCAAGGGGCGGGGGTGAGGGTAGGGAGACATGGCAGGGCAGCTGCTGTGCTGCTTTGACTATGGCTACAACAAAGGCAACAACAACAGGTAGCTAGTAAGGCAGCCTGTTTTCCATTTCATTCAGTTTTATATGCTATTTGCATATACGAGGCTGAGGCTGAGGCTGAGGCTGAGCCAGCTGTGACAAACACAACACAAATAAACTATGTGTGTAACGTACAGACGCGCTGTGCGCTTTAGTGCCACTTGAACTGTAGGGAATTTGCTGGATTATTATGCAGACTGTGGATAGAGACAGACGGACAAAGATAAAAGCTGTGTGTATATATAGACATAACTGCCAATCTGACAAAGATATGCAAAGTAACATATGCACAAACACAAATGCCCAAACTAAAGTGCTACAAACGCCGGCCGGTTGTGGGCCAGACGCTAAGCTCGAACCTGGAGCAGGTGAACTAATGCAGGACATAACAGAAAACACAAAAATGTTTACACATTTACATATGTATATATAATCTTGAACTATATAAAAGCATCCGACAAATGTTTTAAAATCGAAACGAAAAAAAAAACAACAGAAAACGAAAAGCTCTGCAATAAAATAATTTGCGTGGGCAACAAACAGCGACGCGCTGTCGCGACGGTAGCAGCAGCGACAGCGGCAGCAGCAGAGAGAGGCTAAATAAATTGAGAGCACGAGGTGCGTTGCTCTCTCGCATATGTGCGTGCTAGTACTGAGTGTGTGTGCGTGTGAGAGAGAGAGAGAGTGGAGACGAAATGGAATTTAGGTAAAGCAATGCGTGTGAAATGTTTATTGTTGCCGTACTTCTCGTTAGTAGCTACTGCACAGTAGTACAAAACTACTACAAAAAAAGAAGAGCAAGTAAAGACACAAAGTTCTCGACAATTTTATGATGCATATTATTTCTACTTTTTAGTGCATTTACTTTAAACTAAACTGTTTTTGCAAATAGTATGTCAGATCATTTAGTTTTAGTGGCAACGTTAAATCGATTGTAGGCCACTGTACAGCTTGTGGCTTAGCAAGCTCTTACTCTCGGGCACACGCTCGCGCACACTCGCACAGCTTACAACTTAGTATCAGTGGCGTATGCGCAACACTTGCTGTCTCTAACATTACGCATACGCAGCGTGCTTAAATTTATGGGCATGTGGTCAATGCTAAGGAAAACCGCTTGAGTATGCTATAAATTAAAGACGGATATCTATGTGTGCTGATCGATAGATACGCAAAGATTGCATGCATATTGGAAAGCGATCGTAAAGAGCTTAATGCGTGGCACATTGCAACAGCTGCTAAACAGTAAACATTCATGCATACACACACACACACACGCACACAAGTACAGATGAACGCACGCATAGTCACATTGACACATTTTCACTCTCGTTTTTAGCGTGCCGCGCGGCTTCTCTCAGCAAAAGTTTTGCTCGCGCACACTCACACACTCACACACTCATACACTCGTGCACTCCCACTCTCAGTTCGTCTCTCGGCGCTGCTCTCGTTGCGAACGCGCGCCGACGCTTGTGGCTATCTTTCGCTTGATTAACTAATTCAGTTGGCGAGTTCTATTCGAACGTAATAGATTGATATAAGCGACAGCAACCAACGTAAGGCGAAGAAAGTTTCGAAATTGACGAAAGAACAAAATACGCGCGTCGTGCCGGCTCGTCAACCGTTTCCGTTACGCCCTCTCGTTCTTGCACACACAAGCCCACCACACAAATTTGTCGTTAACGACAATTGAAAGCAACGCGCGTAGCTCGGTAGCAAAAGCTTTGTGTTGGCTAGTGTTGTTTGTTCGTGTTCAACTTCCATTTCTTAAACACAAACGAGATTACAAAAAGAAAAGCTTTTATGTACGTATATCTATGTATGTCTGCGTGTAGGTAGCTGCACTTAACTCAGCTCAACTCGACTCAACTCAACTTAATTATCTACTATATAGAATTAATATTGTTATTTTTAGGCTCTCACTCATACAGATGTATGTACAGACGTTTTGTGTTCATTCATTGCTCAGTTGGCTTAAATAAGCATATTGCGTCGATATTTTGTGTTATTTTTACAACGTGCGCTTTTCTGTTGTTTTTGTTTGTTGATGTTGTTTTTGCTGTTTCTGTTGCTGTTGCTGTTGCTGTTGCTGTCTGACATTGACGCAAATGCTCGAGTTATATGTGCACGTATGTGGCTGTGTAAGTGTGTGTGAGTTGCTTGTGAACTTAAAATGCAAATTCAAAGTCAACGCTATAATCTACCTCAAATTGTTGTATTACTTATACACATACATATACAAATACACACTCATATATATAAATATATTTATTTAGATGTGTACGTATTCCATTCAGTTTAATTGAATCTAAACAATTTTGGCTTCACTTCCGCATTGACAGTCATGAAGACGGTGTTAGCCATGTAGGCGTTAAGAGTTGACTACCAAGGCTAAATAACTGTGCATAATTTACATAAATCAGCTAGAGTTGGTCACACTGTTCCAAGATCATGTGTTCGAGTATTGCAGCTGTGGCAACCCTTAAAACGGATTTGTTTTCTTTGTCTCTCTCCTTGGAGCTACGCGCGACTGTGCTTGCAGCCCTGGTAAATAACCACCCACAAAAAGTACAAACCACCCAGCGGACAGCTGCAAGAAATGCAACCATGCAGCGTGCAAAAACAAAAAACGAGCAATGAAAACAACCCTCAGGTGGCGCGGTCTGCAGCGAAAGCAACCCTAGTCGTTCTTAGCGGTTTATTTTTGACCAGGGTGGTGAGCGCAAAGCAATAGCAATAGCAAAGCGTGCCACTGGGTTGCTTTGCTCTCTCATTTAGCGCACTCTGGCAAACACACATAAGCAGACAAAGTTTCGGTCTCTCGCTCTCTCACTCTCTCACTCTCACTCTCGCGCTCGCTCTCTTTCTCTTTCTTTCGCTCTCGTCACTTTCCTTTGCTGTTGTTGTTTGTTGACGGTGGTGGGAGAGCGCGCCTGCGTCAAGAACCCAACGTTGACGCTGACGTTGGCGTCGCGTATTGCCGTTATAACGTGAACCGCCGCCGCCAACAGCAGCGGCAGGCAACGACGTCGACAGAGCCAGCAGCAGGCAAATAGACGTAGTTCAGCTCTCCACGGCGACGCGCAGGAAGCTAAAGCTGAGCGTTAGACAGTCAATGCATTAAATAAAGTATATGCCATAAAAGAAAAACAAGCTAAATAGAAGCGCACTTAACATTTGTGTAAATCCAAATTCAAATATTTATAGAAATACGCTTATAAAGCAAAATAGGCTTTCATTTTTTTTCAAAAGTATTTTTCTGTGACTGCAAAAAGTGACCAACTGTCTAAAGAAAATTGTAAGCAAAAACGAAACGCACTTGTGTGCGTCCGTCTCTGTGTCTCTCTGTGTGTATGAGAGAGTGTGTGTGTGTGTGTGTGTGTATCTACATACGGAGGATAAATGCTGCTGCAAGTGCCACGATTTGTTGCTTAACTATATATGTTCCAAATCCAATAAGAGCTGCAACAACGTTTGATAAGCGAGAAAAGTATCTACAAGTTCAAAAGGGAGAAGAGACGCCTGCCCACGCTTGCCTTCGCGCTCTCTCACCCCCCATCGACTGCTGTCTAACTGTAATTGTAACTGTGAGCAGCGTGTGCATTGTGAATTGTTTTGTTTTGTTTGTGCTGTTTTTTTGCCTGCTACAATTTGCAAATGTTTTTGTTTTTTTTTTCTATTTTTTGGATGCAGCAATTGTGTAACCGACAACAACAAGCAACATTGAAAAGCGCATTATATAAATAATAATAATAAAAAACAACAATAATCAAAGCTGAACTAACAAATAAACTAAAATTGCCAATTGAAATTGTACAAAACTTAAAGCTCGCGTCGTGCAGTTCAGCTGCTCGGTAAACCGATTTAATTGTGTTAATATATTCCAAAGCACACACAAAATAGAGAAAAAAGAACAACAATAAGCTGAACATATATATATATGAATTATAATATATATATATATACTTAAACAAATACATGGCTGTTATTAAACAGAGAGTCTAAAAGAAAGAGAACACGACAAAGCGAATACTCAGGTACCCAAAGCAGAAACATTAAAATAATATATATATAATATAATAATAATACATACATATATATATGTATATATATGTATATAGAGCAAGAAAGATACTGCGTTTAGATATTGCTAATTGATTTTTGATTGCATTTGCACATTTTTAATTTTTTAGATGTTTGCCTACTTGTTTTATACAAAAAAATGAAT